ATTTTATTACTTACTCAAAATATTTTATTTTTTAATTTTTATATCTTTATTATCTTAAGTTGTTAAAAATTCCAGATTTTTTTATCATAATATTTATATTTAAGTATATTGTATTTATAACATTTTATTTTGTCATTAATTTTCTTTATTTTTATCATTTTGTATTTAAATTTAGCCTTGTTTTAGCCTAGACCCATATTCACTGTCTATTAGACGTATATATGTAGTCGTTTAATAGCGGTCTAATTGATGACTAGTCTATTCTTGGGCTATGATTAGACATCTATTAAAATTTCACTGACAGCCCAAATTTAGCCTTGTTTTAGCCTAGACGTCTGGACTGTGTTTAGATGGCTAATAGACGTCTTTTAAACGCAAAATTGATTGCTGGGGCGTTATACAGTAAATTCCGTTGACTGGATTCCGCAATTCCATCCATGCTTTCCGCATAGCGGAAATCATAGGGCCATAGGCGTACCTTGTGGGAAGGTCCAAACGAGTCGCTGTCAGAATCCTGCGTATTTCCAGATGTTGAGGGTCCTGAGGTGTGCACCAACCCATTTAGAGCGTCTGTAATGAGCCGATTTCATGGTTTTGTTTTGAATAGGTTGACTTTGGAAAAAACACGCTTTGAAATTTCGAAATTATCGTACATTATGGGATTTTTTTCATGATTGATCATACATCGTACAAAGGTCAAAATTATCGTACAAATACGATAATTATCGTACGTCTGGCAACACTGAGCCGACTACACTGGCACGCTGTGTGCGCGTGCAACCATCGTGCACAGTTTATTAAAAGATGTGTTTTTGCCATTATTTTGCATTACTCTGTCATCGCCGTGGCTGAAAAGTAGCACATGAAACACTGCTTACATTTATATTTTATTCTGTGATAATTCTGGTGTGGCAGGTAGGAGAACTAAACTTTAGCTAACACACATGGTAGCTCTTATGAGTCATGGATGTTAGCAAGACAAATTAACTATATTTGCCTTTTGTCTTTTGGATAATTAGCTGTAAATTCGAGGCGCAAGCAGCTTAGTCTTTTGTTCATCACCACTCACCTCCACACCAAGACAAACACAACTGCAAAGGGAGGAAAGGCTTCACTTCTGCGGCTCTCTGCCTGTCTGTGATGTGATGTAATGGGTGCTACACTACTGTGCTACGCGGAGGGAGAAAGGCATCGGAACTCGACAGAGTCTCAACATTTCCCGACCCGACCTGATATTTTGACTTTTTATTTGTTTGACAGAGAAAGCTGTGCGCAAACAGAAACACGTATATATACATATATTCATTTATTTAAAAAAAAAAACTCCCCAGAAAAAAGGGCACTTTCTCTCAAGGAAGAAAAAGGGCAGGTGCTCAAGCCCCCTTTTATGTCTATGTGTGCACGTGCCTGACACATACCATTATAATGTAAGTTACTGGTTACTGCCTGCTAGCTAGCTATGCCTCACTGACATTGAATTCTGGATATTTTCATATTCTCCATCATCATCCAGTGCTTTGTCACAAAGTAAGCTTAATAACACATCTTCAGAAGTAAAAACTGCTTTCTTCTCATGGTTGACCTACTGGGCTTACATGTGGTGTCAGCCATTTTGACTCATGTGCTATCCACAGGCTTTACCCACAATAAATTTCTCAATGCCAAAGGGCCGTAAGTGCAGTTACACCCTTCATTTGATATATATCAGTGACGTGCGGTGGTGTTTTAAAATGAGGAGGCAGTTTTATATATAAATATATATTTATATTATATTTTTATATAAATATTATATTTATATATAAATATTACATAAAAAAAGAGAACAAATATAATTCTATTTTGTATTTTATTAATATTATTTTGTATTTTATTTTATATTTTTAATACTAATTATACATTTCATAGTGTTTAATGCATTTTTATATTTATTCATTAACATTAGTTTATGCACTGTGAACTAACATGAACTAACAATGAACAACTGTATTTGTATTAACTAAACAACTTGTAAACAAAGATTAATAAATACTGTAATAAATGTTCATTGTTTGTTCATGTTTGTTAACTCATTAAATGACACCTTATTGTAAAATGTTACCACTATTTTTTATTTGTGAACTGAATTTCAGCTGTTCTTTTTAATAGACAACTTATTTCGGGTCATCGTCATAAAAGCTCTGTAAACACTGCCACAGACACGAAGATATATCTTTCATTTCATCACGCTGCATGCTCACTAAAAACTGACGCAGTCATCACGTTTTCAGACCATTTCAAGTTTTATTTTGACGTGACACAAAGTAGTGGTATCTAAGTGGGAGAGTTGTTTACTTACTTTATAATTAGTCAATAACGCCATCATTTTCTTCATTCAGACCAAGAGCTCGCACGAAAACAAGAGGCGGGATTTATCACACGAACCAATCACATCCAATCATAACCGATCATATCCAATTATAGCGCGATGGAGGCATTGCCTCCTCTCACGTGACTTTCCCCCATTCATCACAATGAGCCTCCAGAAAAGTCATGGCACGCTTTGGGGTCTCTGTAGAAAGTCTATGGACCGAAGGGAGGCAAGCCTCCACTTTAACTTTACCTGCAGGTGTCGCTGTTGGACAGTGTTACTTTATAAAAACGATATTATAATTAATATCATATTTAGTCATATTTGCGCTGTATTATTTTTGTAATATCGATTATTTTCTCATCCAACTTTTTGAGGAGACACTGCCTCCCTTGCCTCCTTGGATGAAACTCCCCTGATATATATATATATACATATACATTTCACACAAAATGTCACTTAGCTCTTCTGATTCTCACCAAAATTAAAGGTATTGACGTCATAGGCTGTGATCAGCCAATGTTATTGTCCTGTTTAGACATGTGCTTCAGACACCGGTCACACTGACAGTGTTCCCCATAGCGACCTGTAAAGGACACAGTGTCTCGTTCCCTCTCAGGGAACCATGGTTACATGTGTAACCTGAGACCTTTTTTTGTGCAAGAAAACCTTGTCTTAGATTAGTTAGTAAAGACACAAGAGTAAAAAAAAGTAGAAAATTAGTAAAAATGAAAGAAAATTATGATTTGACCGAGTATTTCATAGACATATATTTTGGTACAATTTGAAACATAGCTCATATTTTTGTGTGTAAGGCATAATGCACAGTCAGCCGGTCATATCACAAAACCCACACACTTACATGTGATCTACCAATAAGGTTATGTATTCCACAGTAATAGTAATATGTACAATAAAAGTGTCTGTAATTTCTTTTTCTTTTTTTTTGGAAACTGTAGTTTAGAATTTTTATTATCATTGTAGGAGCCATATTTACTTTCTTAATAAATTCTTATAGATTTTTCAATTTTAAAATCATTTTGTTATAACATTGTTGATTTACTGAGTTGCCCAGGTGTGAGGGAAAGAGTGTATTTTAATGCCACCCCTCTTAGGAGCGTGGTGCTGGTGCAAGAGCATACACATGAAGCTATGAGAGCAAACATGTGAGCGGCATATAATTAGTTTGTTTTATGTCACAATTCATGTTCCCGTTCTAGGGAACTCAACGCTGTGCAACCTAGAGGGCACAATGGGGAATGCAGCCTTCATGACCGGTGTCTGAAGCACGTGTGAAACAACGCCAATCTATTGGCCTACACGGCCCATGACGTCATAGGCAGGGTGCCCGGAAGTATAAAAGGGCACCTGCTGAATACGTCATCCTCTTTGCTGTCTTCAGGAGCTGTCTGTTTGAAGTGCGTGTGAGAGACCAAGGCAGGTGAGCGGTGTGGAAAGTGTGTGCGGCGAAGAGAGCGCGTGTTCAGAGTTACGCGCTCATCGTGATGAGTCATGGTGTCTAGGCTCCACTCACGTTTGTTCCTATTTCCAAGGGATGCGGAACAAAGTGTTTGTATCTCACGGCGCGGTTCCGTCGTTGCCGCGGCACAGTTTTTCTCACCTCACGGTCATCGCTTTAATCTGCGGGATTCGCACACCCTCTCTAAACGGGTTGCCGGATGTCACAGATACTTTGGGTTGTTATGACGATGAAGTGTTAGCATGGAGTCGTTTCAGCCCTGATCCTGCGAGATCGTGGGCGGAGCTATATTCAGCTCTGCCGTGCCTCTCTAATATGCATGTTTTTGTGTATGGAGAGCCTCGCTGGGTGTGAATATATTTAAATACTCTGTGGAGAGAGGCTTGCGACTTTTCTCTCCCAAGGTTTTCAGCACCTGGAGTGGTTATGGGGAATGTCTCTTCCTGTGTTAAGTCGGAATGTAACCGTCTGCGGGTGGTTATGCTCCAGCTCAAGCTTACTTTGCTCTGGAATATGGCAGTCAGAGGGCAGCTATGTTCTAGCCTGGCTTCTTAATAAGGTTGGGTTCCCCTTGGCACAAGTTCTCTGGATTAAGCGCTGAAGTCTTTGTCTAGGAATCTGCTATTCGAGGATAGCTGTGTTCCAGCTTGGAGACAGCTCTCCTCTTTAGGGTATTTAAATAGTGGTCTCCTTGAGCCCCTTGCATGGACTGTGCTGTCTCCCCTTCGGGGTTTTAAGTAGATTGCCCACTTCCGTGGTCTGGGCTATCTTCAGTTCAATCTGAGTGAACTGCTATTCGAAGATAGCTGTGTCCAGCCCTCTTGTGTTATGGCCACAGCTTACATCAGGCTTTGATCTTGTGTTCACTCTTAGCGAATCATTTACTGATGGGAGACTGATCTCCCTCTTGTGAGCTCCTTGTCAATAGCACGGTGCTTTGCTAGCCTACTGTGGGACAGACACGGATTGGGGACCTCCTTAGTATAGCCATCTGAGGGTGGTTATATTCCAGCCATTGTTATGGCAGGACTGGCTTACTTGAATACAGCTATCTGAGGCTAGCTGTGTTCCACTGCAGTTGCGGTGAGCCATCTCTTGGAGTGGTCCCCTTTTCCTATAGCCTCGCTATCTGAGGATAGCTATGTGCTAGCTCAGTGATTACTCCCCTGTTTAGGGTTTTAAGTAGCAGTCTCTTGAGCCCATACCTAGACAGTGTTGTCTGTCCTCTTTGGGTCGTAAGTATACAGCCCACTCTTGTGATCTGGGTAGTTTTAGTCGGTCCCCCTTTCGGTAGCCCTTCCTAGGTACATAGCTATCTGAGGATATCTATGTGCTAGCTCAGTGACTGCTCACCTTCTTAGGGTCTTTTAAGTAGCGGTCTCCTTGAGCCCTTGCCTAAACAGTGCTATCTCCCCTGCTAGGGTTGTAAGCAGATAGCCCACTCTCTGTGGTCTGGGCAGCTCTGCAGGAAGGCTATCTAGGCTAGCTGTGTATTGTCTTCTTTGGGACTGACACGGTTTGGGGACCTCCTTAATATAGCCATCTGTAGGTGATTATATTTCAGCCATTGTTTTGGCCGGATGGGCTTACTTGATTACAGTTATCTGTGGCTAGCTGTGTTCTACTGCAATTGTGGTGAGCCCTCTTTTGGAGTGGTCCCCTTTCCTAGAGCCTAGCTATCTGAGGATAGCTATGTGAAGTCTTTGTCGCTGGAGTCTGAGTCGAGTCTTTGGTCACGAGTCCGAGTTGAGTCTCAAGTCATTTAATGGCTTGCTAAAAAAATTTCATTCAGAATCCTCATGTATTGAAATCTTCCTATTTCCGAAGCTGTTTTATAGGCTATAGACAAAATATATGATCTATGATCTGCTTTGTGAAAAAAAAAGAGGTGTTAAGATGTAAGGTTAATTTACAGCCTGTTACTTACATGTTTTAATCCATTGCCATGTTCAAAACAGTTTTTCTGTAATCAAATTCTATAATAAGAGTCCGATCTACCATGACACAAAAGGAAATATTTTACACAGATATTACAAAACCATATAAATAAAGTATTTCTTTATGATACAAGTAAGGGGTATTCAATTAAAGTTCCAAGAGGTTTACACCAGACATATATATATCGGTTCAAAATATCAGTTATCGGTCTGTTTGATCTGTAATAATCGGTATCGGCATCAGCCTTGAAAAACACAAATCGGTCGACCCTTAAAAAGAGGTGTTAAGATGCAAGGTTAATGTACATCCAGTCTGTTATTTATAGGCTATGTTTTAATCCATTACCATGTTCAAAACAATTTTTCTGTAATCAAATTCTATAATAAGTGTCCGATCTACCATGACACATCAGGAAATATGTGACACAGATATTACAACCATTCAATTAAAGTTCCAAGAGGTGCGGCCTCTATATTTTCTTCCAAGCAAAGGGCTGGACAAAAAATAAGTAAATTAAAAAACCAATACATTTTTACATGTATTGTATTTTTAATTTAGATGTGAGGCCATGTGACAAAAAATAGCCTAATGTTTCTGTTCAGAGTTTTCCTTCTGAAATCTATACTATTTTAATATTTTACTTAAAAGCAGTATCTATCTATATTTTCTTCCAAGCAGAGGTCCGAAAAAAAATATCTATTTTTTTTTTACATGTATTGCATTTTTACATTTAGATACATGCGATGCCATGTGACAAAACAAATTCTGTTCAGGGTTTTCCTCCTGAAATCTATACTATTTTAATATTTTAGCCTACCTAAAAGCATTATCTAAAAACAATGTAGCTACAATAATCAAAACGTTCTCATCTTGAGCAGAAAATAAGGATAACTAACAATTTCAAAGTTTAAGTCCTAGCCTAGCCATCTAACAACAATTTTCCCAATTATAATGACATGATTCTTTTTTGCAGTGTTCTTAGCCTACAGATTAATAATGCTAAATGTAGATCAGAAACATCTTGTCACATCTGGTTTGAATAGTCAGAGGCATAGGTCATAGATAGATAAATAGATAGTAAGAAAAATATCTATATTAGCAGCATTGTTTTTTTTCTGCTGTGTTTTAGTGAAAGTAGGCTAATCCATCATTTTGCTGCTCACCGTGTTTCAGTTGTTAAAATAACAAAAGAGTCATCCGCAGCTCTTGAACTTGGCGCCGGCGCGCGTCCAGAGAGAGAAAGCACACAGAGCTGAAAGGGCTTGAATAAAGCGTTTTGACGCGCTGCTCACTTAAAATGGTGCTGTGTTATGGCTCGCAGTCCTGATGGATGCCGGGGTGCGGATGCAGTCCGCCTCTTGAAAATCAGTTATATAAGTATTTAAGGATAAAAGACTCGAGTTGCTTTTAAAATATTCACGAGTCCTTTTCCTCGAGTCGAGTCAAGTCTGGAGTCATTTCAGGTCGAGTCTGAAGTCAAGTCTGAAGTCTATAAAAATGCAACTCGAGTGCGACTCGAGTCTGAGTCACTAACTCGAGTGCCCATCTCTGGCCCGTACCTAGACAGTGTTGTCTCCCCTCTTTGGGTCGTAAGTAGACAGCCCACTCTTGTGGTCTGGGAAGTTTTCAGTTGGTCCCCCTACTGGTAGCCCTTCCTAGGTACATAGCTATCTGAGGATATCTATGTGCTAGCTCAGTGACTGCTCCCCTTCTTAGGGTCTTTAAGTAGCGGTCTCTTTGAGCCCTTGCCTAGACAGTATTATCTCCCCTGCTAGGGTAGTAAGTAGATAGCCCACTCTCTGTGGTCTGTCCAGCTCTGTAGGAAGGCTATCTAGGAAATGTTATTCTGGTCCACAAGCCTTCATAAGACCTTAGGGACATAGCTATCTGAGGATAGCTGTGTTCTAGCTCAGCAGCTACTCTCTTACCTGTGATCTCTAGCTCCTCTAGAGGCTTTCTAGTTAGCCTCTTCAGTGGTCTTGTGTATCCAGGCTAGTTCTGCTCACATAGCATAACTATCTGAGGATAGCTGTGCTCTTAACTTTGGTGGGATGTTCCCCTTGATCTGTTCGGGTTCCCCCGTTTCTGCCAAGTTGCATGAGTGGCCCGTGGTGTTAGTGGCATGGCCCCTTTCTAAGGAAAGGCTTGGTGAATGTTTGCGCTTCCTTGGTGCTCTCCCACCAGGTGGACAGGCATGCGCCTCGGCACGGTGTGGTTGAATTTAATTCCCCCCTAGGGGGCGCAGCATTGAGTTCCCTAGAAGGGGAACGTCTCGGGTTATGCATCTAACCATGGTTCCCCGAGAGGGAACGAGATGCTGCGCCCCCTTGCAAATGCCTTTGGCCTGCCTGTCTATGTTTCCTTCAGACATCTAAGTGGATGACGTATTCAGCAGGTGCCCTTTTATACTTCCGGGCACCCTGCCTATGGCGTCATGGTGCATGTGGGCCAATATATTGGCGTTGTTTCACACGTGCTTTTCAGTCATGCAGGCTGCATTCCCCATTGTGCCCCCTAGGGGGCGCAGCGTCTCGTTCCCTCTCGGGGAACCATGGTTATATAATTTTACATAAGTTTTAATTTAAGAAATTTACTACATTGAATGCCTCATAAATCAGACTCTGGATACATTTATACATTTAAGCATGCATCAGGACAAACACATTTTATCCACCTCTTCCTTAACTTGTTTTTACCACTGCAATCATAATCAAAACTACTTACCAAAGCTTGAGCATCATCACAGGCAAGAGCCAAACCTAACGCAATGCCTGGATCAACTGAAAGTGAAATCAAATTTAGCAAGTTAATTCAAATACCAAAAACTGTAAAATACACCTCAGTTTAAATGTATTTGTATAGCATCGTTCACAATACATTACGATACGTTCCAGCTTTACAAGAAGTAGTGCTATGTTAAGAGGCATGTGTAAGGACTTTTCTGTTTTTTTTTTCTGTACACTGCAGTGTTGAAACTTTCACACAAAAGTTGGTGATTTACTTCCTCTTTTTGAGTGAGGAAACAATCCATTTCTCATAGTTCTGGATGTCAAAGCTGTAAAAAAAATAAATAAATAAAATACTTTCAAACATTTTTTTATTGTTTTGTATTACTAAAACAAAACCTATGAAAATAAATGTGATGACTTTCATATTTTCCATCTCACAAAAGTGGATTTGAAAGAACCAAGCTGAGGTCAAACCAAAACACAGCAGAGCAGTTATACATCAATCTAATGGTGTTGGTAAATGTATTTAACCTTAGCTGTCTAAAATAATTCATCAGACTTCACCTGCTGGTCCCTTGGAATCCAATCCCCCAGAGCAGAGATTAGGCAAGATATACAGTATATCAGAGTTAAAGCAATGTGTTTCATTGCACACACAGAAAGTCACAGGTAACAATGTATAACAATGATTAAGCAAGTTGGTTAAATGACAACATTTTATCAGAGAAGTGTGAATAAGCTTAGTTCATGCATATTCATATGCTTCTTTAAAACATGCATATTTTTTAATATAATGTTAATTTAACCAATTGCAATACAGTCTAACCCATGACCAAAACAAACAATTACATGAAATGTACTTTGATATCTAGTGATTATTGAGATGATTTGTCATTCATTTTAATGATATCCACAAACAGTGATTAGGCGCGTTTCAACTACAGATTTGCGCAAAACTTTGGAGATATTTTATAAATGTTGATAAAAAAAGTTGCGAAATGACGGCGTTTCCATTAACCGATGTTATCTTTCAAAGACAGTGCACCCTAATGAAAGGACTTTCCTTTTCTTTATCAAGGATATCAGTAGCTGCATTCCCGTTACAGATTTTCATAAAACTTTTGCGATATTTTATAAATGTCAATAAAAATATTATTGCGAAATGACGGCGTTTCCATTAACCGATGTTATGTGACTAAAACTTAATTTTTTCCTCTCTCGATAAGTCATGGCAACGGATTTTGATGGGATTTTGGCTACACTAGCCATTATATTTAATCGAAGGAGGCGTATGCGTGTATTTTGACAGAAGCAGCGCGGAGAGCAGCTTCTGGGACTTGACGTGCCGCGGCGTGACTGGTAACACAAGCATTGACTAGAGTGGCCGCGATCAGCTCCGGTGGCCGTTTCGGAGCCGTAACGCGCCACAGACGTGTGCAGTGTAACTAGTCTAAGCATTAATGGCAAGGAAAGCCCCTTATACTTGAGAGCAGCCACATATGAAGTGTTTTTTGGAGGTTATAGTACATTGAGGAATGGTCATGACTTTTTACGTTCGCCATGTGACCTGTTAATGCGAAAAAAAAATTTCCATTGCAGTTTTGCGAAATATTCCTTTTTCGAATTGCCTGAAAAACCACCTCATGCGAGCGTAAAAACTTTTTTGCGATATATGGGCGTTTTTGCGAAATTGACGCATTTCCATTAGGCGTATTTTTAATTCGCAATTTCATTTTGCGCAATTTGAAGGGTAATAGAAACGCAGCTATTGACTGTCATAAAAACTCAGAAAGCAAAATGTCATCAAGGCTATAATGTGATTGGTTATCATATCCCTATAATAAGAAGAACATCTCTCCCTGAAATGGATAGGTCAGATAAGGGAGACATCCAAAATGTTGGTGTGCCTCTAGCAACATTGTTGGAAAACAGCTTTGAAGCATACTACAGTATTAGCATGATATATGTCCAAAATTGGAATTAAGATTATAATTTTCTTAGTGTTTTATGTACTGTAATGGTGTTGAGCAGTCTCACCTGTCACTGGGAGCAGCATACACTGATTACCACTGTAAGAACACCTATAAAGACCACCAGTTCCATTATGAAGGTTAGGTGCCGTCACTAACACACTAAAAGGGAACAAGACAATTATGAGAAAGGAAGGATATGCAGTGGTGGAACAGGACATTAACGCAACATTATTGCAACTGCATTAATGTCTGTATATGATGATTCAGAGATGTACTCAGGGAAAATACATTTTTAAAACTAAAAAAAAAAAGAAAGATTTCCTGACAGTGGATTATGAATTATAACCTCATAATTTTCCAGTCAACAAACACACACTTTTTGTGGTCATTTATATAGAGTTAGGAATGAGTGATTTTGGTCACAATATAAAATAATAATGTAAAATAATCTCTGAATCTGTATTCATCAGCTCTCAAAGAAAAAAAATCGGTCATTACCTTAAAGAGTTATTTCTACTTTATTAAAATGCAGGCCTCACCTGTCTCCTTGCGTTGGTCCAAAATGACAAACCTGATGGCCGAAATGAGAGCCTACCTCGGGCACAGTGAAAACTCTTGGATGCAGTGTCTCTAAACTGAACCCCAAGGAATGACATGCCACTGGAAGATACAGAAATCGGGACAATTAATACCATTAGTCTTTTTACCATGAATCATATTCAGTGGGGCATGTTGTCGCACTATATGCAAGTTGTCACAATGGAACTTGCCGGCCTCTTTTCAGCACATGTGGCAACTGTGTGATATCTCTCTCTCTCTCTCTCTCTGTATGTATGTATGTATGTATGTATGTATGTATGTATGTATATATATATATATATATATATATATATATACACATACATATACATATATAAAAAAGTTCCATTGTGACAACTTGCATATAGTGTGACAACATGCTCCACTGAATGTGATTTGTGGTAAAAAAGACTGATGGTTGTTTTGTGGGAAATAGAGATCAGTTCTTTAAAAAATACATTCATAAAATAATACATTGCTGTGTTTAAAATAACTACAATAAAGTGCAGTTCTATAAAGTGTTCGGAGTATGCTATTCATACACTGGCTACACATACAGAAACCTCAAGCAGAGTAACCACAGTTGTAGTTTTGGTGATCCACTAATGAACAATATATTAATGTCATTCATACAATTTCAAGTGTGGAATAAGTTTTCAAAAACTTTTGGGACCACTGTATTTCAAAAAGATAATAAACTAAATCTGTTACTTACGCAGGAGAAATCCAAAAAATATATAAAGAAAAAAGTCTTGACATAGGTGAAAGATACAGCACGGGATTGGTCTAGGATGCACGGCAGATTTAAATGGATAAATATTCATATTCGACGGAGATAATAGAGGATAAAGAGGAATTATCTAAGTGAAAGCAAACACATTCACTGGACGTAAGTTCCGCAGTAAAAGTGAAGTGAAACAAAGCTGCGATGTTGTATTTTGATGTGACACATCATGTGGGGGCGCGGCATGAGAAAGTTCAGTGAAGGGCGATGAAACCGCCCACCAACAGCCGGTGAGCAGATGCAGATGTGCAGCAGTAAAGAATGAAGTCTCTACTGACACCTAACAAAATCACTCAATCCTGCACTTTCCAAAATGTCCAAAAGACATGATACTACCCAAGGTAGATATCCAAAGAGTATTATGGTTGTAAACTAGTGAAAAGTGTAAAGGGTGTTAAATGTTAAATGCTCTTTCTACCTCCAATGACTCTCATAAATTACTTTCATTGGCTTATGCTGATGTTGTCAGGTTCATGTTATATTTCTGACTTGAATGAAAATGATTAATTTAGATGTTACCAAAACAAACAAGCAACAATTTATTTTTCACTGTACCTTCCTTGTCTAAAAACAGCATGGTGCTATGCTTTGTTGATTTCTATAATGGATAATAAATAATAGGGATGCACCGATACCACTTTTTCCAGTACTCGCCCGATACCGATACTTTTATTTTTGGTACTTGCCGATACCGAGTACCGATACCAATATTTTTATTGCATTTGTAAATTTTTTAAATATTGGGTACAGAAACCAAAAGAGTATGTATAATGTTAGTTGGTTAACTTCATTTATCAAATAGATACAGTCAAACCAAAATTTATTCAGACACTTCAACATTTCTCACATTATCACAGTTTATTTGCTATAGTTTAGAAAATGGTAATAAAATATGACAAGAACTCAGAGTTAAACTGTGTCAGAACAAATTCAGCTTGATAATG